TGAGCCTCAAATGCAACACCAGTGAGGATAAACAGGATAGAAAACTGATGGACGGATAGTTTTGATTTCCTCAATAGAACAACATATTCATATTAAGATTTTATGTGGGTGACAAATGTTATTTTCGTTCCTTTGTTGACATTAGAGGTTCCTCTGTATAAATAAGGCTCACCTATCTCCCTCAAGCTTGGGCAAGTCTGAGCATGAGGAAGACTCCTCAAGCCAGGCCAAAGTCGGTCTCCGTGACTCAGTCAGCGTCTGCTGGCTGTGCTCACCGCCACACAGGATCAGCTGCCTCAGGATGGCTGGGTCATATGGGTTAATGTCAAACTTCAGGTGCACCTGTTTACAATAGCACACTGATGAGACTGACCATCCAAAACAAGACTGCCATTTTTGATTGACACTCTTCATACAAGACACAGCACCGATGGTACCATGTGTAATCTGACCTTCATCATTTTGGAGACATCCCAAATACAGATCTTGCCTCTCTTTGTTGCGACAGCCAAGAACTGTGGGCAGCTGCCAAAGCCGTAGCAGGCAATTTTGTCTGTACTGTCAGGACTGTTGGGAAACTGAGCAGGACAGGTTGCCAGTGTCACTGACAAGGGGACATTTTGTGTGTGCTCGCCCTTTACAAATGGACAATTCGGGGAGTGTCGCTCATGTTCTGACCTGGGGAAAATGGAGAGATGCAAAATGGCATACAGAACATACATACTGTGTGTGCAGAAAATACACTTTGACACTATGACATGGTCAAATACATTCTGTAGTTTACAGTATTCACTCACCACGGCTCATCCGTTGGTTCCCAGCACACCAGACATACACTACAGGTGAAGCACATGGCTCTGTCATCCCCTGATGAAGCAGGCTATGGAAAGAGAGAGAGGGTCAAGGTGGTTTATAGCCACTTACACAGCTGTACTACCAATTTGTTAACTTCGCACGACTTGTTTTTATCAATGAATGCCTGCATATTTTAAAGATCATGTTTGAATGTACTTTAAAGGCCAGCATCATCTTGTAT